AGTACACTGAGAGCATTCACTCCCTACTCAGCATGACGAAAACACAGACCATAACAGAATACCTGCTACTGTTCATGTCAAGTTTATATACAGAACATGATTTTAGAACAAGCCTGACACATTTATAAAAATACCCCTGGGCTATTATAAAGACTTATAGTGCCTAGATAATCCAATCCTGATGGAAATTTAAAAGGTAGCCACACATTTTCCTTTAGTTTTTCCTTTCACTCTTTAGTTTTACAGCTTAATCTTTCATTTAAAGAGCCCAGGAGCATATGTTAACATTTGTTACATCTGAGTCAAGCATGTCAAACTCGTTTATTTAAACAAGACATGCCACCTGCCAGCCACGAGTTTGACATGTTTGATCTAGGTAGTAGGTACAAGAGTCTCTATAATAAACTCATGCTTTACATGTAGGAAACATTTATAATAATTTTAACCAATGATAATTAAAAACAAAGATTTCCTGTTCAGGTTCTCTCCTCACTCTCTAAGGACTTGCATAAAAAGAATTTTTTTTTTTAAAGAAAGTAATGGAAAAACTAAGAGATTTAAACAAATTTTCTGAATGCCTGAAAGCAGACAAAATGTCTAAACAAAGCAAAACTGATTAATTCCATGAGAAGGGACTCAATGGTTTCAGACTTATCGGCCAGCTGCAGGCAGGACCTTGTTCAGATCCTGCTTCAAACTACTCAAAAATAAAGCTGAAAAATATACTTATTTGTATCAAAAATAAGACATCAAATATACTTATTTGATGACATTCAAGATTTATTTATTTTACCAGATATAACAATGGTATTGTTATTATCTTTTTTTAAAGGAGTCCTTGTCTTGTAGAAATACATCCTGAAATGTAGATGAAAGGTATGTCTGAAATTTGATTAAAACTAAGGGGCCGGATGGGTGGGGAGAGGGGAATTGAGGAATAGATAAAAACAATATTGGCCACATTAGCTGCAGACACTGCTAATGCTGATTGATAAATACAGACAGATTCGCCTACCACTCTCTAGTTTTGTATGTATGACTTGCAACTTTTCATAATAAAAGGTTTAAAAAAAAAAAAGTAATAAAGAAAACTACTGCCCATAACACAAGGTGGAAGGGAGCATACAGCAGAGATGAGAGATAAGCAATGGTCCCAGCAGAACCTCAGAGGGCATCCACAGTAGGAAGGTATGGAGGCCTAGAAACAGATGAGTTCATTAAAAGTCTTTCTAGAAGAAAGGTCTAGTCAGTTCCTCCTTTCCTCTCTAACCTCCCCTCAAAACAGTAACAATAAAAAAAAGCATGTCTCTAAAGAAAATAAACATACTATATGGAAAGAACTAGGCCTCCTAGGATGACTGTTGGTCCTACTTATTACTCTGGCATCTAGAATACTCACGGCCTGACAGCCAGCTCTCAAACCATTTGCAGAAAACTAAATAAAGTCAAGCTCACCAGTTGACCTTCAATAACCAGAACTTCCAATCAGCCTTCTAATTTCCTCATCCTCAACCATCTATGGACAATAGAGAATTTTAAGGCAGTAGTGGCAAAAAACTAACACAAAGGAGAAAGACAAAGATAAAAGAAAAACTGACCCTTTAGGAAATAAATTCCCTAGATGATAGAAAAGACTTTAACATTCCAGATTTGACACCCATAAACCATGAATAAGATACTAAGAAAAAGCCACAATCACTCATAAAAATTAAAATAAAATTTTCTATATTAGAGTCAGAATATAAAGGAAATCTTCTAGGTTATACAGTAAAAAATACAGAGATGGGAAATATGAAAGAAAAGTCAGAGAACCAGGGAATTCAAGAGGTCCGACATCCAAAAAACACACATTTCAGGAAGAAAGAATAGGAAACACATGAAGGAATCTATTTTAAAAAAAAAAAGCAGAAATTTTTTCAGAAACAGATACATGAATCTTAAAACTGAAACAGTTCTTCCAGTAAACAGAGTAAGATGATCCAAACCTAAGCATATCCTCATATAATTATAGAATATCAAAAATAAAGAAAAAATGCTAAAAGTTTCCAATGATAGAAATTGGTAATATATAAATAACATCTCTGCTACAATTACATAAATCTATACATTATACGTATCCAAAACTTAACTTGTACTTACACTCACCAGAAAGCCATTCTCCCTTCTATCTATTCTCTATTTGTCTTTCAAAATCCCATTCAAATCCTGTTCCCTTTGTTAAACTTTTCATCAAGTTGTTTATCTACTGTGATCTTAACCTTGCTGCACCACTCATTCATTTGAAATTCAATCTGTATTACTACTTAATTCTGAATTGCTGTAGCCAGCTATCATTTCTTGGAATTTATTTAAACTATTGGTTCACAGGAAGTAAGAACAGTCTTACTTTCTTTTTAAAATCTTTTATAGAATCCTGCAGCCAGGAGACCTGAAACTTCTTCTCGGGACAAAATCTTAACTTCATCAATGGCTTATAGTTCATCTTATCTTTTCCTAAATTCATAAAAAAGTATTACCTATATAATAAAAGCCCACGCGACCATTACAGCAGAACAACCAGAACAACTGATTGCTATGATGCACACTGACCACCAGCGGGCAGACAATGCAGGAGCTGCCCCGGTGGTCAGTGCGCTCCCACATGGGGAGCGCCGCTCAGCCAGAAGCCGGGCTCACGGCTCGTGAGCGCATTAGTGGTGGTGGGAGCCTTTCCTGCCTCTGCGGCAGTGCTAGGAGCAGCGAGCCAAGCGGTAAGGAGCAGTGAGTAGGCAGGCGGTAAGGAGCGAAGGGTCCCAAACTGCGAGAGGGCGGAGGCCAGGCTGAGGGACAACCCTCCCACGCCAGTGCACGAATTTTGTAGTTTTTAATAATTTCTATTATTTACCTTTACCTATATATGTAGGTAAAGGTAAAGTTGAAGGAACTTTTAGGAGGAAACACATATAAATAGCACAGAGGTAATCTTTTTTGAAACTCCCACAAACTTTAAGTTGTATTTCCTAATTGCAACTACTTACCCTAAACAGGGACCAACAGTGGTTTCAGTGCTGACAGCACACAATTCAGAGGAAGAACAAAAAAGGATTCCTCTATGGAAGGGGTGGGAGGATAGAGGAGATATGCTGCCCTGAGTAGTGAAACAATAGTCTTGGACCAATATCTAAGAGGCAGTTGCTATTTCAACCCAGATAATAAGCCAGTGCAGTAAGAAAATTCAAACAAAGTCTGGGTCTAAAATTTTATACACCAAAATCAAATTCTAGAGATTCTATCAAACAGTAAAAATGCCTATAACCTTGCCCTCTCAAACTTTTAATACCTGCTGGGAAGCAACAAAGGATAAGAAACCTACTGGTTACAGGATTATGATGAAGTAGATTTAACAACAACAACAGAAAACACCTGATGGACTCAAATTTTGCAAGAAAGCTTTTTTTTACCCTCTTTATTGTTTACTGTTAATTTAAAAAAAAAAAGATTTTTGTCTATGAATCCCTATACATGAAGAAACTCTTGAAGGAAGAAAGTTCCAATATATGTGAATGTTTTCCAGTTCTAATACAAATCAGGTTGTCTTTGTCCAAAGTGGTTTAAAAAAAAAAAGGACGAAGAATATCTCTTAAGTTTGGCAATTACTGCATAGCCTTTCTTTCTTAGACTTCAAACATATGGTTCATCTAGCAACCAAGGTTAATAGACTATGTTCAAGAACCAGCTTTCACTAAAATTTCTAGGAAAGGAGGAAGGAGATTCTTCTGAGTGTTTCCTTGCACTGAGCTCTGACTAATCAAGCAGTACTAAGAGTTTCCTTCCTCAATGCTATAGCCCCCACTTGTCAGGCTGAGCTCTGACAAGAAATTCCATTATGAACATCAGTCTAATTAAATTGACAGACACTATTCCCAGTCAAATAAACTGTTATTCCAGTTTTCATTTAAAATATTTTTCACTCCCTTTAAACTTATAGGTGAAAGCATAAGAGCAGATTTACAGGCACACATTATTCCCTTCTAGACTGCTGTTTTAAAAATAAAATATTTTCAGCATTTCTACTGCAATATACTCTTCCTTCTACCAATTTGTTAGTGTTTGTAAATACAATGCATACCTAACATCAAAAGACAAGAAAATAGCAATAAATGTGCCTCTTTAGGAAGAATAAATATACTTGTAGTCTAATAAGGTATGAATACAAATTATTGAGAAATTATTAAAAACTATAAAATAATTTATTCTGACAGGTTTTTTTAACCATATCTTTCACCACTTGCTTTTAGAGTTCTCAATACCAGAACTGGATGAAAATTATTTTTATGGACATAAATATAAATGTAAAGCCACTACTTTTGTTAGATAAAGACATTATCTATTAATACATCACTTCGACTCAATCAAAGGTTTCTGTGAAGTATTATTCTGAAGGTATTATTTTAAATGAATAGATGTTTCTAATAATTTCAGTGACATGTTACAACATCCTATCTATTTTTAAATAAAAAATATTTAAGGAACAAATTTTAAAAATAATCACTGACACCTGTACACACTGTTTCGATTTACTGTGACATAGAAATCTCACAGAAAGTCAGTTTATTAGGAGTAGGAATCTATTTTGTCACCTAGTCAGTGGGGATGACTAATGCAGATATACAGGGGAAAATTACATTTTCTAAAAATCACTTACAATTTAAATGGAAATCCAGAAAGAAAGGTATAAACAATATTCTCAGTTCAGTAAGAAAGAAATTAAAAAGATATAAATATATCAAAATCTTTAGTTATTTTTTCCTTTCAAGTAAACTTTAAAAAGAAAAATTGTGTTTACCTACTTCAAACTACAGCACCAATAGCTTTCTATTGAAGTATAAATAGTAATATTTCTAATGGCCCATAAAAATAATAGAAATACCAATCCCTCAACTTGAAATAATCCATAAAATGCAGTAACTTTTAAAACCTTTGCTTGAGTTGAGTCTTTTATTTATTACAGAAATACTCACATGTGTGGGTTTTGAACTCCTGTAGGATTGGGATTCAGAGTAAACCTTGCTGTAGATTTGAAAGGTGGATTTGCAAAATTCAACTTCAGTGCTTTGCGTTTACCTAAGAAATAACAAATAAAAAGTAAAAGTTTCAAGTACTATAAAACAGGTACTATTCTGAGGGCAAAAGAAATTCATATCAAAAGGCAGAAAAATTTGCTTTAACATATAGTTAACATAATGTTCTAAAATGCAACCAAGAATTTTCAGAATTAAGGAAAAGTAAATCAAAATGATCTAAAGTTGTTACTATCCATAAATCACTCAATATGCTCCAGTAAAACGGAAAACAATGCTCAGTGCATCCTTTATATTGTTCAGAGATGCTAACACTTTTGCAAATAAAAATACCAACATGAAAATCATTTACCTCAGCAGTGACACTGAAAAATGCTAAACCTTTCCAGTGTTATACTTTAATGCCTTAGTTTAATAAAAATCATTTTCCCTCAAATATGCTATAAACAACTTAGAGTAGAATCTGAAGCATTCGCAAGCACAATGGGCTAAAAAATATCATGCTAGGGTCAACTTCAAATTAACAATAAAGGTATGCCAAATAATAATTTATTTGGAGCAATTTCTTTGGGAAGAAGGAAGGTATCAATGTTTTACATCAAAATAACAAAACATGTCTATTATAAAAAGCCAGAAATATCAGAAAAGATAAAACAAAAAATATATAAAATATAATATATACATCTATAAAATACAGATTTGAAATATTTATATAGACTTAAAAGTCCAATTACCCCAAACTAATCATTGTCTGTTTCCGACTATTTCCTATACATAGACATATTTTTTTCTCTACAATTAAAATCAGACCGTAATACCGTTTTGTAGCATGCTTCACCCACTGACTATGTTTCTTTCTATTTCAATAAATCTTATAAACCATTTCTTTAGGATTCTAGTATATGGAAACTGTAACTAAGTTGGGATTTTAAGCATTTTTAAGCCCATCTTGGTTTCATTACATTTTAAGGATACTTGTTCAGGCATTCACTCTTCACACTTTATTATACATATATCTCCCTACCCAAACATCTCTGCAATCCAAACACTTTCCCACCTCTGTGGATTCAAAAGATGAATTAGAGAGCTCAACCTGTGCAGCCCGGTACTTGGATGGGATTTGGAAGTTTGAGTGTGCACACTAGCTGGACAAGACCGCAGAATGCACAGAGCTCTTGGCAGAGTTCCGATCAGCTCTCAGGGCTGGCTGGGCCTTCTACAGGACGTGAATTCCGAAGACCAGACACATTATTTTCAGAGATAAGCACAGTACGACATGAATTTTCCACATAATTTGCCTTTCAGTTACCAAATATCTACCAAATAGCTGGTTTGGCTCAGTGGATAGAGCGTCAGCCTGTGGACTGAAGGGTCCTGAGTTCGATTCTGGTCAAGGGTACATGCCCGGGTTGTGGGCTCAGGCCCCAGTGGGGGGGGGGCAGGAGGCAGCTGATCAATGATTCTCTCTCATCATTGATGTTTCTATCTCTCTCTCTCCCTCTCCCTTCCTCTGTGAAATCAATAAAAATATATTTTTTTAAAAATGAAAATAAAATCTTGGGAAAATCCTTGCAATACAAAATCAGCAACTCTAAATATACAAAAACATCACACAAATCAATAAAAATTTAAAAATTGGCAAGGGTATAAACAGTAAAGAAAAATTATAAAAGAATTATTAAAGGCACTCACTAACACCAAAAACAGTTAAAAATTTTATTCATGTGAAATTGGCAAAGTTTAGAGGTTTTATTTTACACATATGCATATATATTTTTAATGATAACATATGATCAAAGTGACTAAGTCAAATAATCACTAGTATAATGCATTGCTGGTGGAAACGTAAATTGATATAACTTTTCTGTTGAGAGGTTCAGCAATATATAAGGAAGATTTTTAAATAAATGTGCTCTTCTACTTCTTGGAAATCTGTCTTTAGGAAATATTTAAAGGCAGATTATTCTCAGGCCCTGAAACCTGGCGGAATTTGCCCTGCTGGATTTTGAAATTGCTTGGGACTGCTGCCTCCTCTCTTCCTTCAATTGTCTCCTGTTCTCCCTTCAATGTTATCCAATGCCTGACCCACCACTGTATCTTGGAAGCAGATAACTGGCCTTCTTGTTTATATATAAAAATGGGTGGCATTCAGTCTCACCCATACCTGATGTAGAGGATTTTGGTGGTCAGATTTCAGATGCTGGAGCTGATAACATCCAGGTGAGATCTGGATTGGACCTGTAGGGTGAATGTACTTTGCAGTTGGGGCAGATGTGAATATTTGGGAGCCAGAAGGCAGACTGTAGCAAACTGAATGGTGGACCCCAAAGATAACAGGTCCTAATCTTTGGAACCTATGAATGTTACTTTATATAGTAAAGTTTCTGAAGATAAAATTAATATAAGGGCTTTTGCAATCATAAATTTGAATAAGCTCAAAGTCCACAAACACCCCAAATCAAAGGTGAACACCACGTATCATGTGAAGTACATCTGAAACCACCCGGTACATGGTCCATCACCTCTATATGGTGAAAACTGATAAAAGACTAAGATCAAATGTAGGCCAATGACACAACAAAGAATCATTGTGAAAACTACCCAAAGAAAAAAACCAAAATTGGTCCTTCCTTCAAACGCCCAATTTTAGAGGACAGTAGCTCACCTCTGCAGGCAAACAAAATATATTACTACAATTAAAACTTACTCAAACTGTTTTATTGAAAATAAATATTTATATATGATGCACAACACAGAGATTCTTTTTCAGCATTGCAATCACATTTAAGCAAAAATTAATTGGGGTCTTCAAAGGACATTTATTGCAAAAATGAATAAGCACATGTGTAATGGAATATGACTTAACTTGCATAAATTAGATGTAAACACACTCTATACTTCAGAAACATCTGCAGCTATCTTGAAAATTACCCAGTATATATTCTGATCTTTCACTAGCAAAATACATTAAATAATTCTATAAACTTTAAAGCTCCTTTAAGCAGAGGTAACTGAGAGCCTAAAGCTGGTGCCAGGGCGTTTAGGATAAGATCAAGTTACATAACCTGTTCTCCATAGTGCCCCCAACTCTCTAAATCAGGGGTCCTCAAACTTTTTAAACAGGGGGCCAGTTCACTGTCCCTCAGACCGTTGGAGGGCCGGACTATAGTTTAAAAAAAAACTATTAACAAATTCCTATGCACACTGCACATACCTTATTTTGAAGTAAAAAAACAAATGTTTTCGGCGGGCCGCATGTGGCCCGCGGGCCGTAGTTTGAGGACCCCTGCTCTAAATGATCAGTTAAGATGAACTCACAAGGCAGTGTTAAGGAGGAAAAGGAACAGCCCAGAAAGTCAATCAAAGGTGAGCTTCAGGGAAGGACAGTAAGAGGCAACTTTACAATACTCTGGAGAGGAATTTCCTGGCTATCTGTAGATCTGCAGGCATGAGCCTTTTATGTTTGTTTGTTTAAAACATCTCTCCTCTCATTAACTTTCTCTAAGAACCTCTTAAGTACTGGTCTTTCTCATCTTTAGCACAATGGGCTAAAAAATATCAGGGTAGGGTCAACTTCAAATTAATAATAAAGGTATGCCAAATAATTTATTTAGAGAAATTTCTTTGGGAAGGAGGAAGGTATCAATGTATTGCAACCTGTCACCATGTATTCAGATATTTTTAATGGCAAAACTATAAATAAGACATTAGACTAAAATGAATTTTTTCTAAAAGCCTGCAACAACTTCCATAGGAAGAAAAGGGTACAGGGAAAGAAGTGATACTAGAACTGGGCTGTGGAGATTGTTAGAAGCTAAGAGGAATTAAAATATTTGTACAACAGGGTTTAAAGTACTTGATCAAGAAAGATTATAAACTTGTGATTATAATTACCCCTTTGGTGAGATTGTCACCAAATAATCAATTCCTAACCAGTCAGCAGAGATAAACAGATCCTCCCCTTTATCTGCAACAGGCTAGAAACCAGGTATGATCAAGCATCTTAAATTATTTATGTGGCAGGAGAAAATATCTTCTCTCCTATAAGAAAAGATTGTCTTTATATATTTAAAGCCTAAGTTCTGTGCCTTATGTAGAAAATGCTCTCAAATGTTTATTGATCTGAAAATAAATTTGACATGGACAACTCAGTGTGGGTTAAATTAGCTAGAATAAGTTTCTGTTGTTTGCAACCGAGAACCCAGACTGCTAAGAAAAACAGTATCTGTCCTCAACCCAAAATGTTTCCAAAGCATGGCTATATCCTTTAGGGCAGCACTGCCTAACTGTCTCATGTTCTGGCTTATAGAGAAAATGAGGACGTTTGTTCAACACACTGGGAAAATTAGAATCATAGCTAGTCCAGAGGCTGGCCTAATGGATCAGCAGCCTCAAGCCCCACTCAGCCATTCCAAGATCTGAGGGTACCAATCTCTGCACCACCCTTGAAATTCTGGTTTCAAAGCTCTCCCTTAAGAGAACAACCTTGCTCACATCATCATCTAAGACAATTTCTTCTTCAACAGTTCTCATGAGAGAAGCATTCCCAAGCATGGGATCTTTAAGAATATTCAGAACTATGATTGAAGAACAAGAATTTGTGCAAGCATATCCATATTCACTAAAGCCTAAGAATATCTTTTTTCTGTAATTTTGACTACAGAGCATCTCACAGGGTCACACAATATTAAAGTTAGAAGGAAGGTATCTTTCAGCTGTATTTGGCCTTAAGCAAGATAAAGAGCCCTGAATATTATCCCTCCATTTATCTTCTCAAGTAATACAAGCCTTTAACATCACTTTCATAATATTCTAAGCTGAGCCAACAGCTGAGTTCAACCTTGGTCAAAGATATCATGAAGGGCAGTAGAGAGTCTACCACTCAAAAATGGAAGATGACCACTCTCTGCAATCTAGATTACCAAATGGATCTCTCCCCCACCTTCCATAGATAAGAAAAAGGTGTCATTTCCCTGTTATTTATTAAGCAGCAGCATTATGTATAGTTTCCAAAACCACCAAAACCAGTCCATCCTCAGAGAG